AAACATTCTCTTTACAAACAATTACAATAGTTTACTTCTAAATGCTAACTTTCTTAAGTTTTCTCTAAAACATTCATAATCTATCCATTTCATACAAATATGATGTTTTGTAAGATTCTTGGTATCACTATAAATAAATTTAAAACAATGTACTTGAACATTTTTCAAAATTTTGTGAAGAAATATTCAAAATAGAATTATTTGCTATACATATGATAATTAATATGTATTCTAAATAGGTCTAGATTTCAAGATTACTTACCAACATTAATTTTTAATGTATTATTTCAAATAAATGACAATAATACAGGTTACAACATTATGAGCAGATGTGTTCATATTGTAAAACATAAATAGTACATTTAATTAGCTTTAAGTAATACAAATGCTTGAAATAAACTATTGAGACTTCAGATGTGAAGATGTTCTGCAAAACGCTTTGAAATCCACTGACATGCCCCATTCTCTCACTCAAGATAAATATGTGGGTGAAGCAGCAGGAGTCCAGTCTGCCTTCCAGAGAGCACCCTGGAGCTGTCCGCAGGAAGGTGCTGGAAAGGGCAGCTGCAGATGGTTCAGGTACACAATTATTTCAGCATGAAAGGCAGCAGAATATTCAGACTCATATTAGGGTATTGCTGCAGTGCATATGACCTGGAAACTGTTTTATGAAAGTTGTGTAAGTATCCTGAGTGTTTCTGATAATTATAAAGTAAAAGACATTTTCTCTAGAAAAGAAGGAGAAGATTCGTGAAAGGAACTATTTCCTTAGGCTCACAAATATAAATGATATTCCTATTAAGTACTTGGATGAGTGGCTAAAACAGACATTTTCTCCCAAAGGTTTTAAGTTCTTTGTAGAAAAATATAAGTCCTGACTCTATGGATTTTCTTAGTATTTCTAACTTCATGTTGGAAAAATCAAACTTCATTTAAAAATCAGCTATTTATCCTCAGTAGAATTGCCCTCAAAGTAAACTGAAAGGGAAGGGAACAAAAGGATTTGTAGTTTTAGCAATATACAAGAACTGACTTTCAAATCTGTGGTAAAGGTCAGGTGTAATATTCAAAAATAAATTAAAAGGCAGGCATTCTATTGGCCTCAGAAGATTCCAGCAAACGTTGGGCACCCGTGGGCATTGGCTAGAAATGTGTTCATTGTGATCACACCCCAGATGATGCCACAAGCACCATTAAGGGCCCTATTCACCACCGTCCTTCTTACATTATGTATGCAGTTATTGTTTTGCATTATGCACCATCTAAAATGATACAAAAACATTTTGTTGAAAAATAAACCACTGGTTTTATGCTTAACACCAGGATTACAAAATGTGATGTCATGAATTATTCATATCATTCGATTTAATGTAATCATTTTCTCCTCAGCGCTAAGCCTCTGTGAATAGTGCCCTGTGCAGCCACTGTTTTGAAGAACTTAATACTAGGGGGAGAAACACCTGGCATTAACTGACAGCGAATTAGGCTCATTGTCACTTTGGAAAAAAAATTGCAATTTAATCTTTGATCTCTTGTACATCCTAATCCAAGAAACCTTTTCAGCACTACAAAATGAGCCAAGCTGAAGAATTTATAGAAATACTGACCTCGACATTTAGAGATGGACATACATAAAGGTATACACACACATTTGAAATTTGAACACTAACATGAAATTCATCTTTCAAAGTAGGAATTCAAAATGTACTTTGATATCATTCGAACTAGTAATGCGACCCATTCCTAATGTGTTTTCTTAATAAATTGTTTGATACACATGTGCACTTTATTTAGATCAACTTTCCCAGTACTGACCTTAGGATGAAGCATGTTGAGAAAGATAAAGGCATCAATGCTACTTACCCTACAGTAAAAGTAATTTATCTTCAAGGAAATAAAAGAAAACCAAGAGAAAATGTGCTGCTGAATGTTTTAAACTCTGGTTAAAAAAAACAAGCATTAGTTTAAAACTGTTAGGAAAATATATAAAAATAAGAATTCCTAGGTCAGTATTTCTATAAATTCCTTCTTGGCCTATGTTTCAACTTCTACTCTATGTCTCAGTGGGGTAAAACCATACTAAAATATTCCCATTTCATTAGGAGATGGTTCATTCTGAATTGAATTTATATGATTCTGTTTCCATGAGAAGAGCCAAGAATCAGCAAACCTGATTCCTAATCTGAGTCCCCTTCACCACCCAAATCCTGAGCCTCTAAAAAGATAGTGATATTTTGCCCTCAGGATGTTGTATGAAGGACAATACAACATGCTGTGAGATAAGACACATAAAAAGCTCAAATTGCAAAATTGTTATTTAAAACTCAAACCATCTATAGTCTATATACATTTGTTAACTATTAGAAGTGTAAGGATGGCTAAACAAAGACACTTATAGCTTCATATTAAGTAATAAAGATAAAACAAAGGAGTTGACTTCACAAGAAAAAGGACAACATGGGAATCTAAGTATAAAATGGCACCTAAACTTATATGGGCTAGCTCACATATGTAAATAGCAAGAGGAAGATAAGTTTACGCACGAATTGCAATTACATTTTCGGAACTATTTTAATCTCTCACAACCTCAACATATACTGGGATTCAGCAACTGTCACCCGATTGGTAAGGAAGACAGTCAGCATGGTCAACTCAACAGTAATTGAGCACCCATTTTTCATAAGGTCAGGGAAAAATCTCTCCGCTGCTGCTCTGTGATAACAAGCTTGAAATCAGCCTATAGCAAATAATAACAAATTGATGATGATCACCACTTTCCAAAACATCAAGGAGGTATTTTAAGAGGTCAAAGAAGAGAGTAAGGGAGGCAGACTGGTGGACGGGAAATATTTTTTAAGTTAATGGATTGTTTGATTTCTAAAATAATTTCTTTTCTATTTAATAGCCCTGGGTGAAGGAAAGTTTCTCCTTCCCCTAAATAAAAAAATTATTAGGCGCTTTGTCTAGCCGTCTTAGTAGCATGTTTCAACTAGCATCTCATTAACATTGTGAACTAGGCCAAAAGACACAGAGTCACATGAGAAGAGCCGTCTTTCTTTCATTTCAAGAGCACCTTGACCTTCCCCACAGTGTCACCCTGTGTTCCCATCAAGCTTCGTGCTGCTGGTGTGTGTGGCCGTCTGGTCTCCCAAGAGCCTGAAAGTCCCGTGGCACGAGGTGGTCCCAGAAGTGGTCTGCAAAGGAAGCCCCTGTGGATGGCTTTTCATTTTCTCACTCACACACTCACTAGCAGTTTTTAAAAATATTATTATGTATTCAAATCCCGAAAATGTTTGTGCTCTTTAAGAAATCTGAAGAACTGAGAGCCAGAGCTCATGCTTCAAGTCTCTTCTCTCTGGAAGGTACAGCCTAATTACTGCCTGCTGCGTGGTGCAGTTAAACACAATCAGTCAGAAAGCCTTAAAGATACAATATCCCTTTTCAAAAACTGTCTGCTTGTCAATTCCAAGTCACCCCCCTGCTTTAAATCAACCAACCACAGAGCTGTTATGAACAGCAACTGATTTTCCATGCAGTGCTGCAAAACAAAATCACACTGTATCCTATTTTTAATGGCCACAGTTTTTCAACTGCATAACAAGAGTTAGCTGGCACTGCTGAGCTGAACGATATCAAAAAAATGGGTTCAAGTAGAAATAACATGGAACCCTTGAAGTGAACAAGTACAGACCCAATTACAAGTGCATTGTGATGCTCAGTACCAATTACATCCGAATAGCTGTGGAGCGAACTCCCCCCTTAATAGTTATATTGTAGACATCAACTCCTTTTATTTTTGTTTCTCCAGGCTTCAGCTTGATACTTAAAAGAAAAAAAGCTGAATCACAAATATTATTTTATTAACGTGTGGTCTATTTAGGCACCAAGCTTTTTCTAGGAGAGAAAGAGAGGTGTTCTATTTCTTCACATGGAGTTCATGACTTGTCAGGACTTTCACTCAGGAAAATTAAATTTCCTTCCTCCACATTGCTCAATGTAAATTATCTTTCTTCTAACAATACACTTTTTAATTATTGGAGCCTTGGGGATGTAAATAGACAGTGTGGGTTATTTTATTTCTTTTTAATTTTTATGGAAAACATCCACATCCAAAGTAGTGGGTAAAATTAAGCTATCTATAAGTTGAGAAAGATTCCACTTGGGTCTCTAGGGGTTCATATGTGACAACTTCCTTAATGACTAGATGAACAAAGGAGAAATAGAAAAATAAATAAAACTGAAGGAGACTTGAAGAGAGAGGAGACAAGGTGACTATCATAGAATCAGAGAAGCAGGTCCCATCAATGTCATCCTCCCCAACTCTGGACCACAGACTGTCCCAGCAGACATCCTTGCCACATGAGAACATGTGCTACACATGGTCAGCTTTCATCTGCTCCTTGAGCATTAGCTTCACTTACGATTTCTTCTGGGGCCAACATGGGAACTCCAGTAGCTGCACCATGCCACACATTTTCAAGGCTGGCCAACCAGTCTGGAGAAATGTGGTTAGAAAATGAAACACTATCGCTAGAACAGCATCACTACAATTCCAAGGATAGGAGGGCAATACATATTTGCCTTGTCCTCTGTTTTCTTTGGAGTCATGAGATGAGCACGTGGTCCAATATTTTCCACCAACTTTTATTTAAAGAGACAAAAAAAAATAAGAAACAATACAGAATTTTCCCCAAACAAGATGATAGGCAATTAACAATGGTTATTATTATATTGCATATTGTTATCTTCAAAGTAGTTGCTCAGATAAGCAGGTATAGGCATGCAAAACTGATCAAAGAATATAAGCACAAAAGGTTCCTTTCAATGAACTAATAGAAATCAGCACTACAATTAGCTCTCTTGTGTATATATATATCGATCTTTTCCCCCTTCCTTGTATTCTCTTTCCCCCATCACAGTTGTTCTTTCCTTTTGTGCAGCTTCTTTCCTTTTCACTATATCTATTGTACCTTTTGGGTTTTATTTATTTTGTTTCTTACCCTAGGGAGACAACATGATGTTCACACATGCAAGTCTGATTTATTTCACTTATGAGTATGGTCTTTGCAGTCTTTGCTTTTTACTTGTTTCCAAATCATTGTAGACTTCACCCTGAAACATAAAACAAAATATTGTATATATATATAATTTCAAAGAGAATAGTAAAAAAAAGAACAATAGCAAACTACCAACATCACAGACATAAACAAAGTGAGAACATTAAAAATGATACAGGGTTTCAAAACAAAATGATAGGAATCAACAATCATTGTTATATTACATATTGCTATCTTCTATGAAGTTGCTTGGAGTATCAGATGTAAGAGTGGAAAATTGAAAAGAATAAAACTTACTTGAGATAAATAATAAAATTTATCCTTTAAAAGTTTTTATTAGAGATAAATGATAAACAAGAGAAATAACACAGATTCAATATAATTGTTTAAAAAAACTACTAATTCATCCATCCCTCTCATTTTAGAAACAAGGAAACTGAGGCCTCGGAGTAACATGGATTCTATGAGGCATTCATCATCAGTAAGCATGGCTTCAGCAGGCATGACACCTGGTACTGGTGACATGACTCAGAGGCACTGAGGGGATGCCATTTATGGTGCACAGTGAGTCACACATCTAGGTTCTATGAACTATAAAATGCCTGATTCAGAACTCTAGAGAGTAAGGAGCTAATATGATCTGAAACATAGGCTACAGACTGCAATAGAAGGATGCTTGTAGGAGTACTTTTTGAGGCTGGGTTATCCAGAGCAAAATAAAATACAGTCATATATTCTTTAATGAATAAGTGTGAGGAACTTTATGATATTAGTCAAAATAGCTTTTGATGACAGAAAGTATATGTCCTGCTGGGCATTTATGGTAACAGGAAGGGCAAATTACATGAAAGACAGTGGTCATACTATGGGGAGGTGAGGAGTGATCTCAAACCAGTAAGGAAAATGGATGGAGTCATGGTAACTGGCCAGAGAGAGAAGGAAGCAAAATTCCCCGAGACCCAATAGGGACTGAACCTCCACTGGATTCCTTTAACAGAGAGAGCTAGAAAGTCAGAGAGATGCTCACCAACATTTCTTCTGCCCACTGGCCAACTTTAGCATCACCCAAAAATGTTCAGTCAAGGTGCCCTTCAGAACTGCACACAATTGTATTTCTTTCTCCTTTTCTCCAAATTTGCCTGACCGTTGTCAACTGCTGATGTTCCTTAGACAGGGAGAGCTAAAATGACCTGAAATGCAAATGCACAGATGAGGGAATGATTAATCAGTAAAATAAAAAATAGAAACAGTTCATCAGAGGGCAAAGACCGATGTGTGATCTTTTCCTGTTTTGACTGAGGAAAGTCTAAAAACAAAAAGAGCGTACTGGCTATCTCATCTTGGGGTGAGGGGGAAAAGAAATACTGTTTTCTTTAAAGGACAGAGCTAAAGACACCGGAAGAAATCTTCAACGACATCACAATTCAGCAGGGCTGTGTAAGTGGAGCACCGAGTGTTTTATAATCCGTACCTAAGAGAATGGAGTTTTATTCTTAAATGATTTATGAAGATTTTGCGGGGTGTTTTGTAGATGTTATACGGAGTTTTATTGTTTGCTACTTCTGTTGTTTGTAACATCACTAGCTTCCCATAAAGAAATCTCCCCCCTACCCGGGGGGATTCTATCCCTGTAACTATATTGACTTAATTCGGAAGCACCAGTGCAATTAAAAGACGGTTCTAATTAATAGGCAATAGGATGGCTGTATGTAAAAGATTTAAGCAGTTTATGCTTGGTGCACTAAACGAATCTGAACAAAGTCGCGAAAGGCATCGGGCCTCCATTACAATTTATCAGCTGAGATGTTTGGAATATTTTTCACACTGGATAGTCACATTGCTCCCTGCAGTTGGTATCGGACTGATAGAAAAAATAAAGTTCAACAAATTTTTCTGAACCGGTGTCAGTAAAATGACTTCTCATTTCAATGGAGAAGTGCCTCCCACCGGAGCAAAAGCACTTTTCCTGCAGGAATTTTCTCCCTCTCATCTACCATAGAGAAACACAGCAGAACCATTGTCTCAAATCATCTAACATGCAGCTGAGCTGACTGGGTCAGCTCCTTGAGCTCTCACCCTGTTCTAGCACTATGTGTAAAGTAGAACCTTGGGCTGGAAACTGAATCTCTCAATGCCAGTGTCTTCACATGTAAAATGAGATAAAGAAGGGGCTATGGGAAACATCATGTGAGTTAATTCTTGGAAAGTTCAGAATGATGAACAATAGTAAACTCTTGATGAATTTTGCATTACAGTTATTATCAAGGTCATTGATTATTATACAAATGTTGCATGACCAAACACATGCCATACTGCATTGCCTTATACTTCATCCAGGAGATGTAATTATGCAAAGTTGGGGTGGAGAAGAAGATGTTCTGAACTCCAAACTCTCAAAGAAATGCTGTACAGAACATAATAATTCCATATTCTCTTAATGCCAACGATTTGGAAGGACTAGAAATAAAGACAATTTCTAATTATCCACAAAGGATAAACAAAGCTGATATTTCATATTGTGTTGTCATTATCACTTATTTACTTTTTCCTAAGCCAGTTTAATGAGCTATGATTGAAATACAAAAAGCTCCTAGTACTACATATATACAACTTGATGAGCTTAAAGATAAACATAAATTAAACAACCTTTGTTTTAAAAGTTTAAAATCTGAAAAGTTTCAAGCTCAGTAATATTGACTTTCAACACCCCACAGTGGTAAGATTTTACACCTGATCTAATGTGATGAGTCACAAAAAACTATTAAAAATATTGTATAAATATCTTCAAGATATGTATATAAGGTCTATATAAAGCATCCATGAAAATTTGTATTTAAATTTGGACCTCAACTAAAGATATCTCATTATGTATATGAAAATATCCACAAATCTGAAAAGAATCTGAAATTTGAAATATTTTTCTTCCCACATATTGTGGATAAAGCCTGAGAAATCTTACATACATGTGAAGTCATCACCTCAATTGATGCTGTAAACTTATCATCTCTCAAAGATATAAGAATACTTAATATTTAAGATTTATTCTCTTGGCAAATTTTTCAGTATATAATACTACATTATTAGTTATTGGCACTGAGCTGTGCAATACATCTCTGTGGTTTATTCATTTGCTATAACCCATGTACTAAAACAATAACATTCTTGATATTCTTACTCCTGCATAGTCAGTTTGGACTCTACAAAGAAAATATTCTTTAAAAACTAAAGCATCTAATCCTCTACTCATCTCAGGACAGCTCAGAAAAGTAATGCATTTAAAGCCTTAGAGTGGGAAGGTATGGAGTGAAATATAAAGGCGCTGTAAGAGTCATTTTGCTGGGTTCTCAGATTCTGAGCCCTCTGCCCAGGTTTGGAGCCTCCCCCCTTCTTTGGCATAGTATGTTCTTCTTACAGCTCCCCAACACACAACCATCCTAGTCATAGCGAAACTTCAAATAAGACGGGTTGGACATCCCTTCTGTCCAGGAAACAGTGGTGATGATTCTAGGTATCACTCTGAGTTTCAAGTTCCACAGCAGAGGAAGCCAAGCGCTGGAGTCCAGTGCCCAGCTACAATGATCTCTCTGTCTGGATCCATCTTAAAATACAATTTGGATCTCCACTTCTGGCTGCATAAACTCTGAGCTCGGTTCTCTAGCCTCAGCAGAGATTCTGTGAGCTACCAAATATCTTTATAATATACTTGTTTTCTCCATATATCAATCGTAGTGAATTTCTTTTAAAAATTCTGACTAATACAGTAGCTAGATTGGGTCTCTTTTGAGCCAGACATTCTCATAAATCTTGCAAAGTACAAATTGAAGTGAAATAATCTAAGAAGTATTCTCTGAACTTTTTCTGAGCAGTACACATTTGAAAATTGCATTAATTCTTGAGTGTCAGGTTTTAGAAAAGATATTGTCAAGCTAGAATTTGAACCCAACTGTGCAAAGCTAGAATGGCAGTAGCAGCAGGTCTATCAGGTAAAGAAGGTCCTGAGGATATTTATGTAGACTGCTGCTTCCAGGAAGGACAAAGTAACTGCAAGTCCCTTTGCCTTTGATGATCTGTTATGATCCTTAAAAGTGTTACCTTTTCTGGAGTAAACGTCCTCAGGGATTTCAGCATTGCAAAGCAGGTTAGGTAGATGATAGCTGTAGCTATTTCCCAGTACAAGAGAGTGTTTGCATTGAGACACCTAAGATATGAAACACTGTCTAAAGTCCACTAGAAACAGCCTTGAATCATCAGCATCACTATCTACTGTAAAGGAGAATATTTGACATCACAGATAAATTCCATCTGTGTCCACCAATAGTTCTTTCATAATTTTTCAAAGGCATGGTTACGCTACATTGAGCATCTACCAGGAACTCGGTCAACATTGCACTGCATCAAACTGGATTCTGTTCACAGCCTCATTAAGCTAAGGCCATCTCTTCCTATTTCTCAGCTTTATCGTCCTCACTGTTTTCCTGATTCTGTGTTCATCTTCTTCCTGACCCTGTTCTCATTGGCACCACTTTAATTACTCTGCTTTCTTGGTCTGTTCCATGAAGACACACTCATTTCAGCTTCCTACTGACCTTGGGCCACTCACTTTTTTGCCAACTTTATTTATTTTTTTTCCTTTCACGTCCTCTAGATTCAGTTGTTCTTTATAGCTGCCCAAGTACCTTCCTCAAAGTAGAGGCTCAGAAAATATTTGTTCGCTAAATTAGTAATTCATATTTCATAATGCTTTTAACACCCATTGGCTAAATACAAAAAAGTATCAATTTTCTAATATTTCCAGTATGTTAATGAACACATATTTTTAAACTCTCTCTCAAATATCACTTGCATTTGTACTTATTTTTATTCTGGGTCAGAGAACGTGCTTACAAATCAGGCTTAAAAGGCAATCTGTGGTAAACATGCTATAAACTTTGAAAATGATAGCTCATTTTCAATGCTGTGCTCATAAGCTTAGGATATTTCTAAAATTATGAGATATAATGGTGATAATTAGCATTACTGTAGATAAAACCTGCAAATAAGTGCCTCTTTTCATAGTACTAAATAAATGTAGAAAACTGTGCCCTTTTTTAAATGAAACACGCTACTTTGACCTCATAAAAAGGTACTAGTATTAAGTGATTAAGTATGAGACTTTCCATATTTACCAGTGAAGTCATGTGTGAGTCTTTCATTTTAAACATTCCATCAAAAGGTTTGGGAAAATAATGTTACTCCGCTTTCCTCACCACTGCCCAGTCGTTTTATAAGTTACAAAGACTTAGATTCATCAAAGTGATGACAGCAGGTGGCCTTTCAAAATTTTAGCCACTAAAACACATTTCTACCAATTTTTATTTTCCTTCAAATATTAATGAATAGTTCCAGTGATAATTAGCAATTTCCCTAATTATAGAAAATTGGCACTTCACTAATAACAAACTCTGATATTATTTAGTATTGAGCCAGTTTTCCTATTAATTTGGAAATTCAGCAATTATCACCAGAGCTATGTGGGTTAAAGTGTGTCAGATTCTGGATAAACAACTTAAAATACCCAGCAATATGAGATTCAGTGTTAGGAAAGTTCAACATTAGGATTTGGATTTTGGGGCCTTGAAAGGCTATCATCAAGAAATCAACCAGTAACACATGCTGGAGGAGTTGTGTGGCAAAAAGAATCCTTCTCCACTGTTGGTAGGAGTGCAGACTGGTATGACCACTATTGAAATCAGTGTGGAGGTTCCTCAAGGCACTAGGGTTAGAGGTCCCATTCAACCCAGCTATTCCCTTTCTGGGTATTTTTCCAGAAGAGCATTAGGATTTGAAGAAAAAACGTTAACGACCAACCTCTGGTACTGAAGCACAGTGGGAAGATTTATTCTGAGTTGTCTTATTTCACTCTAGTCTCTTCAGATGACATCAGTTGCAAAACCGCACAGGTTTACCTCATTGTTAATTCAAAGAAACCACAAATATGTAAATTTTCAAATTGAAAAATAACAAATATATTAGATCTATATGAGGTCTTAAAAGGACATTAATATTAATTTTGTTCTAAACGCAAGAAAATTAGGAAAACAGAAATTCTCTTTTGCAGGTAAGAAATAATGGCCACATTCATGTATTTATTTCTTGGCATGCACTTTGCAATGCTACCCAATCTTGAGATTTATTAATGTTTTTCCATTGT